CACTAATTTTTTTCAACTTGACCCTTTTTAAGGAGTTATGGCCCTTTGTTAAAAATCGTTGTCATGACAACTCTTTCTTAACTACTAGTACAATGTTAACAAAACTGGTTCATCTGGGCTAACAAGATTTTGTTATCAAGTATGTTTTGGCATTAGGACAGAGTACAGGAAGTAAATCTAGTTATGTATGTCAGTGACCTACATGTATATACACAAATAAATGTACAACTCAGTCAATAAAGAAATCTTTACTGGTGGTATAGACTATAGATTGCTTTGCAATGCTTTGTCTTATATTAGTTAGCCTTTAACTTACAGTTCTGGTTTTATAAAGGAGGGGGTATTAGTTAGCCTTTAACTTACAGTTCTGGTTTATAAAGGAGGGGTATTAGTTAGCCTTTAACTTATTATTACAGTTCTGGTGTATATAGGAGGGGGTATTAGTTAGCCTTTAACTTACAGTTCTGGTTTATGAAGGAGAGGTTTTTAGTTAGCCTTTGGCTAACAGTTCTAGTTTTACAATTTTTATTAGACTTTTTGTATTATTTTCAATCTTTCAAACATATCTAATCAATGAAGATCACATAATCAATTAAATCCATGAATAGATACATAAATGTACAATATCCATGTGAACCCCATAGACGTATCAACATTACTTTTTTCGTGTTATCGCCCTTTGCAAAGCGACGGTGTTGCCCGGAGTAAAGCAACTTCCGGTTTAGTTAAATCTAATGTAATTTGTGTGTGATATATAATACGTCATTGTAATCATTATATACGTTTATAACATTTTATACAACTTTTTCGATATGCTATAGTTAGTAGACGTATTTTACAACGTAAACAGCAGCCTGTAAGGAGGCAGTACCCAAATCGGATCAGTACCCAAATCGGATCACTTTTTGCAAAAATACTTATAAATAAATAATTGTGTCAACAAATCAGTTATAATAATGATGTAGTCTTAGAGTAGATAGCCATGCACCATTTTTTGTCTAGAGCTGTTTAGTTTTTAAGTTCAAATAGCACAAGAAAACGTAATTCAAACTCAAATGTCATTGTTTTTATCACGTTTTTAAAAAATGGGGCGTGCGACGACTATGCATGCTGTTTTGGACTATAGGAATAAATTAACACTATAGAAATACTTTTTGTCATATAAATTCTAAAGGTCATCATAGAATGTTAATATGCTGACAAAAGATACTCATTTGAAGCGTAAGATACTGCATAATTCAAGCCTTGATCCGATTTGGATCCTGACATTCGCAAAAACCGGAGACGCTGATTGGTGACTTCAATGCTTATACAGCAATATGATCCGAGCTGACCGTGTTCAGCTTATACGATCGAAGTCCTACATACATGTACACTTTTTAGATTAATTAAGAGCAATAGACGGGGATTAGTTTAAATACGCTTCACGATCTGTAGAGTTATATTCACACACGTGTGCCACGCCACGTCAATTCATCATAACTAGGTATTTTTTTCAAATATCTTGGTATATAGGTACATCCAAGTCATATAAATAACACATATTCTGATTTTAATTTTTATTCAATAATTTTGTCTGGCGACGTGTTGTTAACTGTACAGGTTAACGCAAAACATAAGTGCCACGTCGACGATCGGAAAATTCAATTCATCATAACTCAGTAAATATTTCAATTACCTAATTGAAATTTGGTGTGTTATAGTCATATAAGCAACACATCTTCTGATGACGCTTACTTCATTTGGTATCTTTTAAGATTTTGTTTGGCGACGCTTGTTGTCGGTTGAAGACGCTTAATTTTGAGGGTGACCACAAGAAAGTACAAGGATTTATTGTGGATTGGTTAAGTTATGCGAAGGATGGTTTGTAGAGAAAGAGGGTGTATGCCAACGGCCGCCATTTTACCTCCGTGACTTAACAAAGTGTTTTTGTGGTAGCAGCGGAATACCCAAATGCTGAGAAGTATTTAAACTCATATAAAACAGGAAATGCCTGAGTATTTTACCAATAATTGGATGAAAGAGGTGTACTATCATTCAATATAGACAACAATCAAGTACTGCCTATTTTGGTCACAATGTACACCAACTCAAAGAGTATCTGACACAGACCATGGGGTATGGGTGGGCGTGTGTGGCGAAGACATCAGGATGAACAAAACCACAGAGATCTTAATTTTATTTAAAGAATTTCCAAGAACCAAGAATTGCGTTCAAATTAGCCAAAACGACTGAACACGCAGAAGTAATAAAAAACTAATGTGCACCTTGCGATGACATAGCTCCTTAAGACCAGACGATTTTTATGTATATTGCGTGGTGAGGTTTGAATATAGTATTATGTATGACCCAACCATAAACAAATCCTATGGCATACAGACAAATAAACTGATATACATGGACGATTGCAATGTCTGATGATGACTAATCTGTAACACATCACAGAGAACATCCTATCGTTACTAATTATAACAACAAACAACTTCTACTTTCTGAATTTAGAGAACAGCGTCCCTGATAATAGATACCGCCAGTATCGTGTACACGTGTGTAATGGGAAACCGGAAGTGTCATTACTCCGATTTAAGGGACGTAACGCTTAAAATTCAATATGGCGGCTTTGTGTTGATACGTCTATTGGAATCAATAAAAAGGTCCCAATGAAATCAGTACAAGAAAAAAGTCCCAATAAAATAAATGCATAATATGTGTCTCAGTATTGCCTGCATAAATATATAAACGTCTTATGAAAGGCAGAATATGCATTCAATGTTTCCATTGGTAGGAAGGAAGAGTGTATGTTTTTGTGTTTTTGTGTGGAGGAAGGGGGGGGGGGGGGGGGGGGGTGCTGTTGTTGTTGCTAGAAAATCAACACTATTACGTACCTAACTGCATAGCAAATATGGGCTAGTAAAAAATGCATTATTATTGAATTTAAGTACCAAAACGTTTAAATATGAAAATATCATATTGTAGGTTGTATACTTTTAATAGCATTTGCATGGTATTGAATTACAAACACTGGTCATGGTGCAGAACCGACTATTATAATCTTAAATATGCCATTAATAGCTGGTCATCATCAGAGGATGGGCTGTTGATATTGGTTTTCGTCCATGATCTGCCCCTCAGTCATTCACTCAGTCAGTCAGTCTTTTAAGACATTTTGTTGCGCATTCTAGAATTTGAGATGCATCGGAAAACAAGTCCCTAAACGTAATGTTCCAACTTGGTTTCCATAAGACCATAGTTACATATGTACATCGGTTTGTTCCGTGAACGTAAATATTTAGATTGGAGAGAAACGATAGTACTAGTGATATGCAAAGTATGAGCTGCGTGCAAGTACATCATTATTGGATTGGGTATACGTACACTGTACATTCAAATACAAGATGGGCACGTAATTTCTCAGCACCATAAAGGGTATGTATACAGTCAACTCATTTGTTTACACTATTCACATAACATATACTGAAACACAAGCAGGGACAACCATTTAAAAACCATGACAAGTCAGATTATCTTCAGAGATAAGTATGCTAACAACATTCCATGATCTTTCAATGGTGCCCCCCCCNCCCCCCCCGTCCCCTGGAATATTTTATTGAATTTATGGTAGCAAGTAAGTACATTTATATTGCCATAAACGATATAGAAGCCATTCATAAAATTTAAATTATGTTATTGTATTAAAGAATTTGCACTGTGTAATAGACTGACCAGTAATTGTTGTATCTACTTCTAAAACTTCTATTATATATCTAATAAACAAAGTAAACATGAACTATTTTTTTGTGGCCAAATACAAATCCGTAAGATATTCAACACGGCATTAGCAGTATACTATCTAATGGTATTATCACAGGTACTAGCCTCGTCTGTTCATTACGGGTGTATTAACCAACGAGGCTATACATAGATATTACCCAAAGCTATCAGTAGTGTCGAATACATGAGCTATCTTGGAATTTGATTTCGTAAGAGGAACACATCACGTCTTTGTTGAATATCATACATTTGTATACATATGAGGGATAATAGTGACAAAATATATATCTGGAGCATGCATGCAAACTTCAAATATTTACAATACAGTGTAATTATTTTTATATCAGACCATAAAGTAAACGGTTATCAACAACCAAACAATATATTTTTATTTTTATTTTGTTTTTATTTGCAGGACACGTGCGATATTGATGTCCAAGACCAATGCAATGGCAACGAAAGTTCCACATTTACCCCTGCATGAGAAGGCCAGGATCTATAAGCGGTTGATGCTGGTTTTCCTTGTGGTCTACATACTTGAAGGAGTGGCCTCTTTCAGCATTGGCGTCTGGCTGCTTGCTCGATTTCATGTAGTGAGCAACTGTTTTATTAATTATCAAATTAGTGCCGCGAGTTCTTTGATCCTTGTATCCGGCGTGCTCACCATATGTGTATGCTCTTTTGGTGTGGTGTCTACCTCCAAAGCGGAGAATACACAGTGCTTACGGCCCTTTCTCATCTTTCTTGTGCTTCTAGTAGCGCTGGAGCTATCTGCCGCCATTGTTTCAACGATCGACCAACATAAGCTTGATGACAAAACTTTTCACAACAGTATGAGTACGACTCATTGGTCCATCAGCAACGAAAACGACGAAGAAGAACAGAAAGAAGAACTCGAATGCTGGACAGAAGTACAGAAGAGATTCCGATGTTGTGGCGTGGATGGCTATCGAGATTGGATCAGCGACACTTCAGATACGTACAATTTTTCACAGAGTATATCTACTCTAGCTTTAGACAGCTGCAGATGCGAATTAAATTGGAGAGAGAAGGAACGAAAGTGCATAGAAGTCAATGTGACGCTTGGAACCAATGTGAGCAACTACGGTGTGTTTGCAAGTCCGTGTCACGACGCCTTGTACAGTGCCATTACGACTCAGACGACTTTGATAAGATGGTTCTGTCCAATTCTTGTTATATTACAAGTTGTTGCATTTGCTTTTATTTTCTGGTTCTTCTCAAAGGTACAGAAAGCAAATGCCGTAGAAGTTTACGGAGTAGGTAACAGGAAGAGTACAACCGACCCGGAACCTCCTATCATCTTTTCGGTCTCGAATGATAGACGGTCCAGCAGTTAGACTGTGCTCAATGACTCCGCTGGATATGCGTTACTGTTGGTACATCGAACCAACATGTGGTTATTGCGTTACAACGTCTTTTTCAATGAGCGTCTTATGAGTACAGTATTTAACCCTATACAGATAGTTAGGATCCAAGATCATGTTTGACTTGTTTTGGCCATAATCTCCTGCCGTAAAAAAATTCTATGTTTTAATGTGGTGACAATATTTTAAAACCTTTCTATATATAGAAGTAAACAATACGTGCCATAACATCGCCATTTAAACAACTGTTTCATCCATACAAGCACCTGGGGTTTTCACCTTGGGACAACAACGTCTGGTTCCTATCTAAAATACAGATGTATCATCAAACCGATCAACTCCGTCTAATTTAATCGGGTGAGCTCGACGCTTGAGATATTTTATGCAACTTAATATTCAGAATCTCAACGCCAGGGGGACGATTATGGACCTTTTTTGAGTGACGCTTTGGCAAGGACCACGGATATTTTACTGCAATGTCGTAAAGTGTCCCGATAATGAACCGTTACAGATGAATACACATTGAGTGTGATACTACTGATGTGTAACTAGCATTACAGTTTGAATTGTCTTTCATTTACTGTTTTATGATATGCTTGTGAAATCAAACATTTCAGGTACATGATCTGTTTGAAACAGCGTGTCGGAGTGATATTATATTTTCTTAAATCGTAACGAAGAACACGGTGGAATTCAATACAGTTTCGTGGATACGTAGCAAGATCAGTGAAACTCGATCATTCACGAAAATATCATATTTTATGTTGACGCTATGTGACGCTGTATGTACAAGATGCAGTTACCTGTACTGTTTGAGATGTAGTCTGAATGAAATTCACCCGCGAAATAGTGCTGGTTTACCTAGAGTTCGCTCGCACACGTATGTCTCCCTATTGGATCACAAAACTGTGCATTATCTGTAGAAACATTATAGTCAGTGCTTACCATAAAACATACGATCTTGTTCCCTGAAAATGGCTGGTCCATTATTTGTTTAAAAAAGTTTGTTTACAACATTACTCGAACCATGCAGATGAATTGACGCAGGAAGAGAAAATTGTTTTTTTTCATTGGGTTTGAACGAAGCTTGCATACCACAATTAATGTAAAATATGTATTTAAATAATCATATATTTAAAGGTCGTTTGCGGCTTATATCGTTAATATTTTCACTTTTAAAAGATGTGAAGTATTGTATGGTTATTTCACTTGTGTTAAAGACGTCATGGAAACATATCCCTTATTCCCATAAGAAAAATGAAACTACTATCGAGGTTGTACTTTTTAATGTACATGTAACTTTATCACATTTGTCATTAATAGACTACGTGTTTAAAACAGAAGAGAGAATCGCATATGAGTTGCGGTAATGTTAAAACGGTTCATTGGTCCGGGATTCAATTAGTATCAACGTATTTGTGGTTGTTAATTACAGCTATATTTAAAATTGTAAAGGACAAGTTCATATAGGGAAGTGCAGGATTGCACCAGCTGTGGTCGCATACAGACGCTTTCTCTTGAATATTAACTTTAACACGTGACATTACTGGGGAAGTTACATTGTGAATGTTTAACTAATTGGTATTACAGTTTTCTCGATGGCAAAATATAACACATATATACTTAGTATACAGAATATAAAATGAGGTCGATTCTTCGCTGGTCTACTGGGAACACTGTATGAAACTCATTGTGTAACGTGGGATGTGATATATTATTGAGTGGAGAATCCTCGCCTGAGTCGGGGCAGTATTCTATAGAAAGGAAGTTTATGTTAACAAAGAGATTCCCTTGAATATGTATACATAATAAGCCACGAAATCGATAAACCTATTTCCATTAGCTGTATTTTAAATGTAGACTAAAGATTAAATTCATTTATCCTTATCACGCAGGGTCGTATACACAGAAACATACATATTGACCCATACATTGTACATTATTAGGCATTATATCGTTGGAAAGGGGTTATGACGTCAGCAACTGTGAAGCGTCGGCCATGTTTGCTAATTTTTGCCGTTGTGGTGTAATATTTATTGAACATGCTATGAAGAAGCGTCCGTTGTGCAATTTTATCAATTTAACGTGTCTGTTACTAGGACGATAGCTAAATGTGTCCGTAACTCGGACATCAGCTTGAATCGGCTCCTCATTATACAGTTTATGATGATTTATCTCTTGCATTAGAAGTTTACATTGATGCATTCCTCACTTAAATATTTTACCTTGGGTTGAATGTGTATCTTACTGTGATATTTTACCTTGGGTTGAATGTTTATCTTACTGTGATATTTTACCTTGGGTTGAATGTTTATCTTACTGTGATATTTTACCTTGGGTTGAATGTTTATCTTACTGTGATATTTTACCTTGGGTTGAATGTTTATCTTACTGTGATATTTTACCTTGGGTTGAATGTTTATCTTACTGTGATATTTTACCTTGGGTTGAATGTTTATCTTACTGTGATATTTTACCTTGGGTTGAATGTTTATCTTACTGTGATATTTTACCTTGGGTTGTATGTTCTCTTTATTTTATTATTAATATTAATTTTCAATGTTAATAGTCATGGGACACTTGGAGATGTTCTCATTATAGGATGTCTTGTACAGGTTATTGATATTTAATTATGAAATTCAGGAAATAGATGATGAAAGACACTTCCTCGTGAAATATCCACAATATGATGATATTAGGTTTGAACTTTTTTCCATGGCCAGGGGGAAAATCCCAGACTTCGCAATGTTAGACGAGGAATAGAAATTCATCACCATAATAAATTATAATAGCATCCAGACTCAACTTTCAACTTGTTTATTACAATAGGCGCAAAGCACATATAGAGCAGTGATATCATCTATTTCATAGAGTACAGTGCTTTAAACTAGGTGAATAATATATATAGTCCATCATTAGAAACTACTATTTAACTTGATAATCATGTAATTTAAAAGTATTTGTTCTCTTTCTATTATTATTAATATCAATTTTAAATTTTAATAGTCATTGGACACTTTGAGATGTTCTCATTATAGGATTTCTTGCACAGGTTATTGATATTTAATTATTATGAAACCACATGTCCATCATCCTGATATACTAAACGTTTTCCCTTGGGTAATGTATATAGATGGAACACAAAAGTAATGTCTTTTTATGAGTATTTTAGGTGATTTGATATGTATCATGTGTATTAATAGTGTCTCGTAGGTCAGCATTTGGCCGGATATTAATTCCTGTTAATGGTTTTTATATTGTATTTGTTTTACTGTGAATTAATATGTGACACTTTAATAAAATGTTTTTTATTATTTATTATGTATGTAGGCTATTTCTGTTTTAACCGTGTTGTCTACCTCATGGTGTCCGGTAATCTGACTCATGATATTTTGTTTGCTACTTTGACTTGTCTGTAACTCTGAGATTCTTGGTACGATAGCAATTAATAATCTGAAAGGAAATGTTTGCTAAAGAGAGGGTTATAACTTGTACATACGATTTCCATTGATAGAGGATACGGTTTGGTCGATGTCGTACAAACGTTCCACACGGGGTGCATATCATTCAATGATTATTTGAATTGTATGCGTTTATAATGGACCGTTCAACTACGTCTATATTGTGCAAACAGAAAATTGTTTACTTTTTTCCCCTTTTGTTTTACATCACGGATTGAATACAATAAGCATAAAATGCATTTTAGTGTTTTATAGATTTTTCTTTGTTACACATAAAACATTTGAGTAATATAAAAACATAAAGGTACACAATTTATTACAGTGAATATTGATCGTACTTTCTGGTTTTAGTATCTTATTAGTCAAATTAAATAGCTAAATATTGATCTAAAGTTATGGGAAAGGTCTCATCGTATATTGGTAAAATCGTATTGCCGATCAATGTGATAGTTATGATGATTCAATCATATTATTGTTATGTATTTTATTCTGTAGTTTTGTAACAAGTTGTTCTATTGGTCAATCTCCATGATTTATTTCTATGAATCATTCGCAGACTCTGTGTCAAAGGTCCCGTATGTAAGCATACAGTCAGTACCGGACAGTAGTCTGACATTTACATGTACTGTGCAGATATTGGCTGGTATTTCGTCAAGTGTTTTCAGATGTCTATTTCAAGGCTACACATGGCAATATCAGATTCAATCTGTAAGCTTCAATTTGAAATTGACATTTGGAACTGACATCAGGAAAGTACATGACAGTGTATCATCAAACATCTGCAGCATTCGGAACCGTGAAAGTACATGACAGTGTATCATCAAACATCTGCAGCATTCGGAACCGTGAAAGTACATGACAGTGTATCATCAAACATCTGCAGCATTCGGAACCGTGAAAGTACATGACAGTGTATCATCAAACATCTGCAGCATTCGGAACCGTGAAAGTACATGACAGTGTATCATCAAACATCTGCAGCATTCGGAACCGTGAAAGTACATGACAGTGTATCATCAAACATCTGCAGCATTCGGAACCGTGAAAGTACATGACAGTGTATCATCAAACATCTGCAGCATTCGGAACCGTGAAAGTACATGACAGTGTATCATCAAACATCTGCAGCATTCGGAACCGTGAAAGTACATGACAGTGTATCATCAAACATCTGCAGCATTCGGAACCGTGAAAGTACATGTACAAACGCCAATCAACTTTACAACTACCTACAGAGTACTAAGTTTTGCTCTTTTGTTTTATACTGTTAAAGTTACTCTCCAGGACTCCCTGTAACAACGAACGATAATTGAACGCGTTTTTAATTGTTGCATGTGTTAATACGTTGGGCAATACTTCATGGCAGATTGACCAATACAATTGTCGTTATAGCAACCATGATTTCTAATAAATAACACGCCTGATTTGATTTGTACTTCTAGACAAAATGAATGCTAATGTTGCTGTTAATTAATTGCCTTTTAATTTACAAAATAAAGTGTTTGATTTCAGAATTACCAATGTTTTTGTTGATCAGTTTTTGATACCTTACATTGTTATGCCAATACATACGGTATTTATCTGTTAATGTTCGATTATCGTCTGTTTTTTTATTACCGTCCCAATGCATTTTGTCGTGAGTTAATTTCCAAGTCACGTTCTCTTATCACGTGCGCTTCCGTTTACGTCAAAAAATGCATTTTTCAATACATCTTTCACAAAATCTTGATATTTATTTATTTAAGATAGTTTAAATAATAAACGAGTTAACAAAAACAATATCAATACATTGTAAATATTATTTTCATGAATGTTTGCGAAGCAGACGACGTTTGATCATAATATCAAAACTGGAACATTTTTTTCCACAAAAATGTGTTTTAACATTTGAAAGAAAAAGTTTGAAGGGGAAAAAATCCATTTTTTTATGAATTAATGAAAGTGATACAAAGAAGAAATATAGTAAACAATTGATATTAAATTGATCAAAAACATTATCCTTAGAGAGTATGTTCTGGGCATGATCGTTTAGAAGCTTTTTTTTGCAATCAGCTCGAGCTAGGTCCTGTTTACAAAATGGCGACTGGAAGTAGCAAGACGGATTAGATTGAAACTCCAAGATGGCTGCCGCTGCTCTGATTGGCCGAAATCATATCCAGTAATAACATTCGTTCTGTTTGACGGAACATAATGAAACTTGGTGAAAGGGATGATAACATCACACCAATCGTTTTCGACAAATAATATCTCACCTTTTGATTCAAAATGGCGGCCAAATGCAGGCTTCTGATTGGTCGAAATTTAAATCTCGTCCAATTTCGATAAAATTTGGTATGTAGGTGAAGTATTGCACTACGAACACAACTGCGGTGTTCGTTTTGTAAAAAAACAAAATGGTTGCCATTTTCTGGGCTCTGATTGGTCACAATTTCAATGTCGAAATCATATCACCACTAAAAACATTCGTTCTATTTGATGGAACGTAAAGAAACTCGGTGAAAGGGATGATAACAACACAGCGCTCGTTTTCGATCAAAAAAAATAATTGCACTACAAACACAACTGGAGTGTTTGTATGTGAAAAAAACCAAATGGCTGCTATTTCCTGGCCTCTGATTGGTCAAAAAAATTAATATTGTCTGATTTTCATGAAATTTGGTATTTAGGTATATCATGGGACACCGGGCCCACTTGTATAAAACATCTCAACTCTTGAGATTTCCTCAAGTCTAAGATTTCCCATAGACAATACATTGCTTGAGAATTTCCTTTACTTTGAGATGTTTTATACAAGTGGGCCCATGTCACTTTCGTAACCTGAGTTTCAACATTTGGTATGTAGGTATAGTTTGCATTTCGAACACATCTGCGATGTTCATTTTGTGTAAAATACAAAATGGCTGCATACTTAGCAGGAGAGGGGTGACTTCCGCTATTGCTCGCAATTGCAATTATAATATTATTTATTATTCTTATTTCTTCCACTTTCTTCCGCCGACGAGGTTTCCGACATTTTTCTCAAAAACAGTAGGGCGGAATTCAACGAAACTTTACATGAGTGTTCGTGTATGACAGGCGGTGCGGAAGAGTATTTTTGTTTTTCGATCGGTCAACCGAAGTGATATTAGGGGACTGTGAATTCAACCGCATAGGTTTCGTTGCCATAGCAACCATATAGCAACCACACGGATGCTTTTGATTGGTTGAAATTTAGATATTGTTCGATTTGGATGAAAATTGGTATACATTTTGTATATGGGTATTAAGGGACTGCGAATAAAACTGCATAAGTTTCGTTACCATAGCAACCACACGGAGGCTTCTGATTGGTCGCAGTTTATATATTGTTCGCTTTCGATTTCACTGAAATTTAGTATGTACATTTTAGGTGTACGTTGGCAATGCGATCTTTTTCTGGTGCATCTTCGCGACTATGGGGGCAGTTTGGGGGACATATGTAATGGTCCCCCATTACAATTAGTATTTGTTTTACTTGTAATTTGTCCGTCACTTTTGAACCGTTACAGACATCTTCAAGAAACGTGCGGTATGCCTGCATCACCCTAAGACGATGTGTAGTGCACAATGTAAAAGGTGCAGTATACCTACATCACCCTCAGTGGATGTGCAATGCACTCTGTAAAACGTGCAGTATACCTACATCACCCTCAGTCGATGTGCAGTGCACTCTGTAAAAGGTGCAGTATACCTACATCACCCTCAGTCGATGTGCAATGTACTCTGTAAAACGTGCAGTATACCTACATCACACTAAGACGATGTGCAGTGCACTCTGTAAAACGTGCAGTATACCTACATAACCATAAGACGATGTGCAATGCACTCTGTAAAACGAGCAGTATACCTGCAACACCCTGAGTCGATGTGCAGTGCACTCTGGAAAACGTGCAGTATACCTGCAACACCCTAAGACGATGTGCAGTTCACTCTGTAAAACGTACAGTATACCTACTTAACCATAAGACGATGTGCAGTGCACTCTGTAAAACGTGCAGTATACCTGCATCACCCTAAGACGATGTGCAATGCACTCTGTAAAACGAGCAGTATACCTGCAACACCCTGAGTCGATGTGCAGTGCACTCTGGAGAACGTGCAGTATACCTGCAACACCCTAAGACGATGTGCAGTTCACTCTGTAAAACGTGCAGTATACCTGCAACACCCTAAGTCGATGTGCAGTGCAATGTGTTAAACGTGTAGTATACCTACATTACCCTAAGACGATGTGCAGTGCACTCTGTAAAACGTGCAGTATACCTACATAACCATAAGACGATGTGCAATGCACTCTGTAAAACGTGCAGTATACCTGCATTACCCTAAGACGATGTGCAGTGCACTCTGTAAAACGTACAGTATACCTGCATCACCCTAAGACGATGTGCAATGCACTCTGTAAAACGACCAGTATACCTGCAACACCCTGAGTCGATGTGCAGTGCACTCTGGAAAACGTGCAGTATACCTGCAACACCCTAAGTCGATGTGCAGTGCACTATGTTAAACGTGTAGTATACCTACATTACCCTAAGACGATGTGTAGTGCACTCTGTAAAACGTGCAGTATACCTGCATCACCCTAAGACGATGTGCAATGCACTCTGTAAAACGAGCAGTATACCTGCAACACCCTGAGTCGATGTGCAGTGCACTCTGGAAAACGTGCAGTATACCTGCAACACCCTAAGTCGATGTGCAGTGCACTATGTTAAACGTGTAGGATACCTACATTACCCTAAGACGATGTGTAGTGTACTCTGTAAAACGTGCAGTATACCTGCATCACCCTACGACGATGTGCAGTGCACTCTGTAAAACGTACAGTATACCTACATAACCATAAGACGATGTGCTGTGCTCTCTGTAAAATGGTAACTACGATATTAACCTCAATGTTATTCGTCTAATATGTGCGAAATGTTGTCAAGGTAGTTACTTTCAAAGGTTAAAGATATCACCAAGAAACTTGTTGTGTATCTGCATTACCCACAAACAAGTGCAATGCACTGTCATAACTTGTCACATGATGTGCAATGAGCTGTCAGGAGGTCCCGGTGACCCTGACCTCAACGTCAAAGGTCAAATAAGTGCTCATCTGTTTATTTTTTATTTAGGGTACTGAGACCTTCCATGTCATAGCGTGTTAGTTGCATTTCTTCCATTTGTATTTTTTAGTAGGCAGTTCCTCTTGTTACATTACACATGAAGACACACGCTTATTTTCCTTTTTTGTGCATTTTTATTTTACAACGAAAACGGAAAGAATATCAGCTAATAATGGAAGACTTAGTTTTGTTTACAAGAACAAATTACCAGTTAACACTAATTAATTGTTAGCTTTAGTATAACATACATTGCAATACCTTACTACGACACTACTACATTGTAACTTTAACACACCATTATCAAGACAGATGGATATGTGGATTCTGAGGCTAGTAATTGAGTATAGTAGCTTACAGCTACCTTGTTGATGTGGTCATTCATGAATTAAATGGCTATACATTAACTGCATGAACACATATATCTTATGGTCCTTTATAGTTGAAGATGAATTTTTTTTTATAAATATTACACATCAGAGCAAATTGTGCTTAATCGCATCCTTCTGATTTCCACTCACTAGTAACAACTATGATAAGCTATAAATGAAATAAATGACTATTTCCTTTTTATGGGTACATAGAACATTAGTATTCAGTTAAAATATACAATAAAAGGGTCCGTATTCGTGAAATCTTTCTCATGCTTAAGCATAGATTTTGTGTAACTTTCATGTCACTTGCTTACTCTTGTGACACGGTCAAATAGTCAACCGAGAACATTTAAGATAGTATGCTGTTTGCAGTCTCTCCCTAATTCTTCCAAAATTGTTGAAAAAATGTGATTTTTAATAAAGCAATCACCGGACAAGACCATGGGCTTGAGTAGAGAATTTGAGTTAAGTTTGAGCGTGAGAACGGTTTCGTGAATACGGGTCAATGTAATTAAATTGTCATTGAAGTTCACAATATTAAATTTAGCCCTTGTCATAAGTGATCAAGTCACCCGCGGCATACCCTTGTGAGTCGGGTATTCCAATGTGGAAAGAATATAAGTGCTGTCACTCATTGCATGTCGTAAGAGACAACTAATGGGGGACCCTCAACTGCGGATTTGCCTTTGTGCCCTTCTCTTAGAGACAAAACAATTACCAATATAATGTGCTGCACACATTGCACACTATGGGATCTTTACCTTTTTGCTCTACTTACTACAACAGTCCTTTTGTTTCCTAGCACCTTGTCCTGGTCATGCTCAATGTTTACTGTCCAAGTGAGGAAGGCAGCCGGTTCTGTCCTTAGACCAAAACATTCCAAAGTCCTTAAATTTATACTTGTTATTCCTTTCGAAACGTTCAGCATTTTGCTAAGGGAGACAACTGCTTAGTCCTCCAGCACTCATACAAAATTGAGCATACATTACACACACGGAGGCACTTCAGA